AAACCACCACATTGAATTACAGTTCAATAGGTTCAGTATTTTTGTATCATTCTTTATTTGCTACCGAATTGGCTAATATTTAGCATTTGAGGTTGTCATTGGATGAAAGTTCGACGCCGGAAACATTTCAATATCGTCGGCATTTGTCGGTGCTGATTAATTTTATGAGTTTCATTAATGAGTTTTGATACTGGTGTTTAAAAAAAAAGTTTCCCCAGCATGCGGTAAAAATGGCGCCCAACGCGGGAAGCCTCATTGATTATTGACGCACAGATAACGACTGAGGCCTGAACACAGTTCTAGTTAAAACTTCATGGACAATAAGAACATAGTAGGAAACTGAGGGGGCTCAGTGATGGCTCCCAATGCCGAGTACGTCTATCCTTTCATGGATTCAAAGAACTACATATTCTCCAGATATCGGTCATAATTTTTTACCGAATTGGGTGTTATTTTCCACTCGAGGTTATCTTTGGAAGAATATTTTAAAATTTTACTTTGACGGCTCCAACCATAATGCACGGTTGCACCAAGGTCTCGATCATAGATGGCCCGTCGGAAATTATGACGTATCTGACATACATTTCCGACGTGTATTACATACGTCGGAAAAGTCGTAAACCTACCCGATAAAACAAGGTTTTTGACAAAAATAGGAAAGAAATAAAAAACACATTTGTCTCTTAAAATCCAATTCAGTTTTTCTTTAAAATATTTGTTTTATTAAACAGGAAATACAAAAACATAACAAACTTAAATAATTCATTTAAATTACATTTAAAATCAAAGGCCTCTAAGCAGGTACATACTGTTATTACAAATTATTTTGTAATTTGTTTCGTTTAATTTTCGTTTTCGCTGGAATCAGTATCCTCTATATACTGCGAGACGTCTTTTGTTTCATTTATTCTTAAAGAAAAATAAACTTCTAACAATTTCTTAGAACGTTCTGAGTCTAATCTGTTCCTCAAATCGGTATGAACATGTGTCCAATTTGAAAAAATACCCTCCAGCTGAGCTGTTGAAGCTGGTATCATGAGCAATTTTTGTGCAAATGTCGCTAATGATTTGTGTCTATTTGCAGCCAATTCCCAGAATAGCCCAGGTTTGGATGTTTTTTCCAAAAGTAAGGCAAAAAATCCTGCCGCATTTTTGTATTCTGAAAATGATTGTAATCCATGTTCATCAAGATTTTCCAGTAAAAAGTCTTCAACTTTTTGCATTTGCTCTGGGTTCAGCCTTCCACCCTTATATAGCGGATGCAAAACATTTGCTGCGAGGTTATATTTATTAAAGACTTTACTGATTCTACATCTTTCTGCCGCCACTTCATATAATTCTGGTTTTGCCGTAGTAAGCAATTTTATCCATTCTTCTGTTGCATCAGCTATAGAATACTCAGACTTTTGACAGTTTTTTATAAGTAAAGCTACAGGATTCAAAAGATCAAATAGTTCCTTAACGGATTGAATAAAGTCCTCCTTATAGAGCAACTCACTTATATAGGATTTGACCAAGGGTTTTCCATCAGTGTTAGTTTCTGCAGATATTTGCTTCATTTTGGAAATGTTGTTTATCAACCAAAAAAGTCCATCACGCTCACTGCACCATCTTGTTGCACATGGTAACTTCGCTTTGGTTCCTCCAAGCATTGACAACTTTCTTTCAATATGTACTTTTTAAATTCATTAAGAATTTTATGTACTTTTCCAAGTATTGAAGAGTTTTCAGTAACTTCGTCCTCCAACATACCGAATACATCATCGTTTTGTTGAGACTGTAGCCGCGTAGATCGCCTCTGGCTATTCCCAGTCGCACAAAGATAATTTAACTCGAAACGAATACCAAAATTCTTGATGATATCTTTGGATAGCAAATTGCCGATGTGGGCATTACACGTTGTATGAATCAGCCCAACATTCCGGCCCATTGATACCATATTGGCAGCATTATCTGTGACTACAGCGAAAACTTCAACTTTGTATCGATCTTTGGCTAAACTGGCAGCTTTCTTCACCATTTCAGTGAGATTTTCTGAAGTTTCTCTCATGTATGAAAAGTCGTAAGATTCCAAAAAAATTCTGTGATCACAGTTGTGCAGTAATGCTGCGACATTTTTTGTGTTTGATGCTGAATTTTTCCATCCGTCAATAAGAAGTACGGAATATGTACCTTCTTTTAAAAATTTCGCATTCAAATCGATTTGCTCCTTATGCACTGCATCCAATAGTGGTCCAGCTATCCTTTTTCTGCTTGGTGGTTTGTACGATGGTTGCATTCCTTTGCAAAAATCTTTGAAGAATTGATTACCTGCTGCAACAAAAGGAATGTTACAAGCGAAAAAAAATCTGGCAGTACGAATGTCGAGTTGAGCTTTGTCTTTCTTGCTGATTTTACGAAAAAAATCCTTAATAGTAGTTTGAGTATTTGATGTCTGTGTACATGACAACTGAAAGTAATAGTGATATTTTAATACATGTAAATTGAAAACGAATTCATGCTTACATTTTTTTGGGATATGCCCGCTTCAAGTAAATCACTTTCGTTGTCCTCGTCAATCTGTTCAACATTGCATTTTTTCCTAAAAATCCAAAAACGCATTTATAAATAATCATTGTGTTAATATTAATATTGAGTACTTACCGATGTGACTGCATTCTGTTAATAGCCGTGTTGCGGATTAATTGCTTGCACCTATTGCACTGGGCAATAGCTTTCCTCGTTCACTTATTTTTGTATATCCGTACCAATATGGATGAAGGGGCCTACCACCGGTTGCTCCAGAACTTTGTCCAAACCCCTCTGGTTGTTGTTCATCACTCGGACTTTTTAACATTTTAAAATATATAATATTTTTGTAATTGTTGAAAAGTAGTTTTATCTCCCGCTCAAACTAATTTGTTTTTGGCGTTTTTTGGTTGACATATGTCAGTTCAATTTGTCAACATGCACAAATGCAATGAAAAACACATCAAGCAGTATACGCGACATTTTGTAGATGGCGTGCTATGTATTTTGTATATTTTACGATTCCTTTAATTAAATTTAAATGTTTTATTTAAAAAACATCAAGATCACAAAAAGTAGATTTTATAAAAGTCTAAATTTTGAGAATCTTACATGTATTCATATTATATAAGTTGTGATTATATAGTATCGTGGGTACTATCAGCAATATACATTTGAAATTTATTTCATACACCTCTGCTTCTCTATGGGTCCCGTTTGTAATCCAACTCCACATCAAGCCGAAACTGTAGCCTTGATTTCGGTACAAACCACAACCACCGCTTTGTACCCAATACAGGGGCCTCTTCGTAGTCAGGCTAACTCAAAAGACCTAGGGTCTCCTGACACCCGCGACGCCCAATAGACTTCGATCAAACTTCGAAGTCGAAACTACTGCTAGTTTTGTTCCATAAAACATACTTCTCATTGCCTGTTGAAGGGTACAAAGTGATTATCTGAATCATTTTTTGTTCCCAACCTACTTTAAGAGGATTTATTTCATCTTATACATGGATATGACAGTTTTAATCCAAATCCAGGGGGTTAACCCATTTATTCGTATGCATACTGTATCATATTCTATTGCTGGGAATACTTGTTGAACTGAATCTCATTAAGTTGAATAGCCGGTAGTTCATTTTCGGCACTTAGTTCCACAGGAGTTTTTGGCCGTTGTTCCACAGGAGTTTCGACTCGTTGTACTGTTCCGTAGCTCAAACATTGGTAGTGATTTAAAGGTAGTCATTAACTGTAATGGTAGCTAGAAAAATTTCCTAGCATTGTAGCCGACCCAAACAGCTTAGCCTGAACATTCCCACAATGAGCTGTCGAACCTGAACGAGTTTCGCTCCATCTAAGAAGGCCTGCACATCCTCCCCCAAACAAAGGCAAACAAACAATCTTAGACACTTCTGAACATTATATTCTACAGTGAGCTCCCGAACGCGAACTGATCTCTCCCAGCGAAATATTTTTGCTATAGGTGCACTAATTGGTATAGCCACCATATAACAGTACCTCCCGATTTTCGGTATTTTGAGAGTTTCTGCAACAATTTCCATTCATGTCAGCTGGAACTTGACATTTGGGGTTCTTAAAAGGTCTGCTCTTTTCCTGTGAAAGGTGTTCGATTAAGATCCACTAAATGGTATAGCCTCCAAAAAGCACGTATACATGTATGATATTTTAAAATATGATTGATATTCTAAATTAACAATTATAAATTTTTCATTATTTCATTTTACTTTGACAAGTGCGAATTTTCTACAAAAATGTCCATAATAATTTTTATGATGATATTCGAGCAATTAAAAAATTAAAAAAACCTAAAAAAGAGCTATATGTTCGGTCAGGCCGAACCTTGAACACCCTCCACCATTTGGAACGGATTTGACAATTTTCAAAAAAATAAAAACCGTAAAAAATACGACGACGTGGACCTTCTTCTAGTATCCATTACGAACTTCAAATACCAAACAATTCCGGTGAATAATGTCGCTAAAATCATCAAAATAATAAATAAATAGATAATATATGGGGGCTATACCAAAACTTGGCCCTTTATGGCCCATTTTCAATAACAAAAGTCCTGCAGACATAATATACATTTGAGTTAAATTATATCAATCTACTTCATTTCGTTCGGAAGCTAGAGTGATTTCCACAGACGGATAGACGGACGGACTTCTTGGAAGCATAATGCAATGAGTCTCCACAGAGACCAACTTATAGCTCTTATTCTCTAAAATTACCTTAGTGAATAACTCCTCCATATGGATGATTCGTAAAATCATTTAAATTTCATTAAATTTGAACTATTTAAAAATCAGCTAAAAGCATTTGTTTTGATAGAGAAAAAGTTTACGCTTAAACCATTTAAAATGATTTTTATAAATACTTTTTATTGTTAATTTTATCTGCTTATCTCATCCCATCCCCCAAACCTAAATACTCTGAACTTAATCCTCGCTTTTTTATTTGTCTCTTTATAGAAAACTAAGCTGCACATCCACATCCATTCAATTTGAACCAACGAGCGAGTGAACGAACCAACACATACATCATAGAGAGATAATAAATGCTACTAAATTTAACCCAGCTTGTGTGTGTGCGTCTGTGTGGGAGAGAGACAGAGAAAAGACCATGCTTTAAAAGACAATTCAATTGACAATTTGGTTTAAATAAATCTACATAAAAATCCATAAAAAAACAGCTGGAATTGAATTGAATGGTAGATGAAATGAAATAAAAATCCGGCAAAAGGAAAGTAACAAAAAACTAAAGAGACAAAATAAGTGAACCAAATTGAGGGGAAAACGAAAGAGAGAGAGAGAGGAAGAATAAATGTGAGTGGTACAAGCAAGCGAAGCAAACAGGCAACGGTTAAAAAATAACAGCGATACACATAAACATTAAAACGGAAACGGAAATTGTAAAATAAAAATCCGCACACAAATATACCCAAACGAACACACTCACACAGAGTGAATGGCACATTATAAAGTAGATTCATAAAAAAGGCAACAAGAAACTCTGACCAAAAAAAAGTACAAGGACAATATCCTTGCAAAACAACCAAACCAAAGAATAAAGAAAACAAAACACAGAACAAACCAAACCAGCCAAGCCCAGCCCAGCAAGGACAACAGTACAAACCCCCTAGCATGCGGATGGTCCTTCGTCATTGAGGCCAAGTAACAAACAAACAAACAAACGAACGAACCAATAAACTGATAAACATTTACAGTTATAACTATCCTCTTTAAATAACTACTGCCACTTCCGGTTGACTGGTTATTGGTGTGCTCGGCTTCGGTTCGTTATTTTTTTTCGCTGCTTCTCCGTTCATTTCAGTCTTTTGTCTGCCGTCGTGTTTTTTTTTCGTTTTGTGGCATATCTTAAGAAGTTTCTGACATTTACACAGTGTAGTCTACGTTGAACCGTAGAAAAAACACAACAACAACAACATAAACATGACGTCTTCGACGGCAATGCCAGCGAAAGCAATCAGAACAAAAACAAAAATCCTGCCGCCTTTAATAGCACCAACAACAACAATTGAAGCCACAACACCTCCACTTAGCAGTTATCGTCATCACAGCCACAAGCATGGACACTGTGGAAGTGGCATCACGAGACAATATCCCCGACATCTGTTGGCTTACAGTCTGCTATCGATATTGGTCGTATTGTGTTGGCTACCCGGTAAGTTATGCGAGAATTCATAATTTAAAAAAAAAGAAAAATATTCATTAAATTGGAAGTTTAATAATTGAATGAAAAAATATCGAAAAATTCTACTTCAATCATATTCCACTTGGCTTCTTTAATAGAAATTGCAAATATTAGCTGATGATTCCTATTTTTGGAATTAAAATTCTAGGGAAAGAAAGAAAATAAATATATCTTATTTTTGAATCCTTCAAGGGATATTAGCTAAATTATAAAAAAAAAAAAAACTATGCATAAATCAATATAAATATATGAACCAGTAAGTAAAAGTCAAAAGTCCGGCGGAGCCGACTGTACATATGATACCCTACGCCACTATGCTTACTTAGTAGAGCTCCCGTAACAAAAGAATTTATTTAAAGTAGATCATACCACCTATCAACATTTGGCTTTAGAGCAGTTATAATTTCGTCGCGGAGGGAACTAATATATGGGAGGCATATCCAATTCGGAATCGATTTTCACTAAATTTGACGGAGACATTTTAATCTTTTATACCAAATAACACTGCTATTGAGTGCATTATATCACTTCAAGAAAGTTTATACAAAAAAGAATATACATCGAAGCCGAGTTCCACAAATGGAAACGTACGTCTCAAAATTCACTCTAATTAGGCTGATATTAGCCATTATTTACACAATAAACCTGAAAACGGATTAAGAATATATATTGGAGCTATATCCAAATCGGTTCCAATCCTGACAACATTTGGCAGAGGTATTTCAGAGCTCTATAAGATATCTGGTACCAAATGTCATTGTTGTCGAATGCATATTACGAATATGAGGGACTTAAAACCCAAATCGGATGAAACATATTTACAGAAACTAGAGCTATATCTGAGCCGAATTTCAAATTTTATGTACTTGCTTCCAGACTGAATTTGGTCGGATGTGCCAAAATTCAGGTCATTTGGACTTATATTGGCCAGTTGGTGCACAATTAACTCGAAATCGGTTGAAGATATATATGGGAGTTATATCCAAATCTGAACCGATCATGACAATTTTGAGCTGAATTTGATATCTGGTACCAAAGATCATTACTGTGGAATGTATATTACGCGCGTGAGAGACTTTAAACCCCAAATCGGATACCAAACCGATTTATACCAAATTTAAAGTGCTAGTAATTGCAAAAAATTCAGCTGATATTAGTCATTTGGTGCACAATATCAGATAAATATATATATGGGAACTATATTCTAATCTGAACCGATCTCGGTAAAAATAGACGGAGGTATTTTCGAGCAGTACCAGATGTCTGGTACCAAATATCATTCTTCTGGGGTGCATATAAATGTGAGGGACTTAAAACCCCAAATCGGATGAAACATATATATGGGTATATATATATATATATATATATATATATATATATATATATATATATATATATATATATATATATATATATATATAGCTATATCTGAACTGAAGTTCTCCAAATTTTACGTACTTGCTTCTAGACTGAATTCTGTTGGATGTATTAAAATTCTGATCATTTGGACTTATATTGGTCATATGGTGCACAATTAACCCGAAATCGGTTGAAGATATGGAAGCTATATCCAAATCTGAGCCAATCTTGATTGAATTTGGCAGAGGTATTTCCGGGCTGTATATCTGGTACCAAATATCATACTGGTGGGGTGCATATTACGAATGTGAGAAACTTGAGAACCAAATCGAATGAAACGTATATGTGTTATATCTGTACCGATTTTTACCAAATTAGGATTACTGTGAGTGTGTAGCTTTTATATAAGTATGTCGATTTGCATGTGCGTACTATAAGGTGTACGAAAAGTAATAAATTGTACTACATTTGGTATATAGAGCAGGAAAAGGGCTAGAGTTGTGTATTTTTGTATTAAGAAAAGCTTTAAGTACGGTCGGACCGAACTTTTTATATTCTCCAACCTGAGATAACAAAACCTTTCCCCTATTGGGAGTCAATACTCGAACAAGCGTTCGAAATTTCATAAAGTAGGCAATAACGGTATATGAAGACAAATAATAAAACCTTCTAAGATGATATGTTTTTACAGGGGGTTTCAAACCCATATTTGAAACATTTCGTTGAAAAATATTGTCTAAATCCTTAAAATACCAAATATCAGGATGTACCGAACTATATAGTCTCTTTTCTGTCTGAGAGGATGATATCCACTAAAAATTTTAAAACCTACACTTGAAACAATTCCGTTGGATAATGGGGCATCGATCATCAAAATATGGAATATTAAGAGGGAGGTAACTTTATATGCGGGCTAAAGGAAAGTGGGGTTGAAGAAAATGGATCCTTTCGGTGTGAGAGGTTGGTACTCTTGAAACGTAACTTTAATCATCAAAATACCGAACACCAGGTGATACTGAACTACACAGACATCTTTCTCTCTGAGAGGTTGATATTCACTAAAAAGTTTGAATACAAAAATTTATAGAATTCCATTTGAAAACGTGAACCCATGCTGACAATTTTTAGACATGTTCTGTACTGTGAGTTTTAAATGCCAAATGTTAACCGATACTTTTGAAAAATGGGCCGTAAACCATTAAAATATCGAATATCAAGAGGTACCGTTATTGGGAGCTATAAGAAGAACTTAAGTTTTTCGAAAGAACTCTTTTTTCTAAGAGGTTGATATTAACTTTAAAATGTGTGTGTGTGGGAAAATCTGGATTCAATCATTAAAATATCGAGCACTTGGGGGCAGGTAACTTTACTTGGGGGCTGTACGAAAAACTTGAACCCAATTTTCAAGTTCTTAAAATTTAGACATAAAAGATAACTGTGAAGATTTCCACAGAGATGCTTCTTAAAATGCTGCCCTAATTAATGAACAACTACTGACAATTTCAGCAAACCCCATAATTCTTTAACCACACTTGCCATACCATCCCCCTTTTCGAGAATAAACAAATCACAATAAAAAAATTCAAATATTATTCAACATTTTTTTAATTTATGTTGTTTTTTTCATTAATAACTTTATGTTTTCAAATTTCTTTCTTTGCATTCATGCAAATCCACATTCCCTTGTCCCTTCAGTGGATGAATCCAGCGTTGGGTCTGTCCATTCTACGTTGGTTCATCCAATCGCAAAAGGGCCATAAATTTACTTGAATACTTTAGTTCCTGTTATTCGTTATTTATGGCGAAGCACGTTGCAAGGCGAAACCATTTGAACGATGAATGAACGAACGGACAATTCCAAGAATTATTGAATTAATAAGTGTCGCTCTTATAACAGAGAGTTGCGTTTTTTATGATTCTCTGTGTCCTTATTTCTGTTTCAAATTCTAAAATACGCTTGCTGGTATTTCTCTTATGTTGATTGAGTGTTAAGTGGAATAAATGCAACACTTTTAAATGTGTTTTGAAACAATTTTCTGAGAATAAAAAAATATGGCATTTGCCAGAGGATATATTTAAGTTCTGGAGGAAACATGAACATCACATCGCAAGTTTGAAGGCTGATTATCCACTGAAATTAAACAAATGGTACACATCTATATTAATAGAACATTGAAGTAATTGGGTCCCTCTTAGTCCGAAGGGTTTTTGGAAATTCATATTAAAACGGTACAAAAAGTATTTAAAGTATTGTGTTTGCGGAAGCAGTAGAGATATAAATCTTAAAATTAGAATGAAGGTCACTAATGGAGTGTATGATAGATGTACTCAGGGGTTTTTGGAAATTCACACTATAAGTGTTAGAAAAGTACATTTGGTACAATTTCGTATCATTTGAACGGTTAGAGCTAAAAACTTGAATTTTGGAGAGAAGAGTCGATGCAAGGAGGTAGTTTTGGAAGTGTGTTCACGTATACGAAAAGTACTAAACGGTACTAAATTTAGTACAATTTGAATTTGGAGGAACGGATGGAGCTAGAATACTGAAATACTGGCGGAGTGTAAGATTGGGATATGGAGGAAGTTTTCCAAATTTGTACTTATTTGCACGAAAAGTAATAAATTTTGTACAATTTCAATTTGGGAGAAGTGATATAGATGGACTTCTGAAATTTAAAAATAGCATTACTATTGTATTCTAGGTTCGGAAATTCGTACTTATGTGTACTAAATTTGGAACAATTTAAATTTGAAATTTAGAAAATAGGACTGAGAAATGTAAATAGTTTTGGATATTCATACCTATGTGTACTTAATTGTACTAAATTTGGTACGTTTTGAATTTTGGTAGAACAGGTAGAGTTGGAATCCCGAAATTTGGAAATAAAATTGCTATTGCATTGTAGGGCTGAGAAATGTAGGTGGGTTTGGAAATTCTTACTTATGTGTACTAAATGGTACTAAATTTGGAACAATTTAAATTTTGGGAGAAGCGGTAGAGTCGGAATCCTGAAATTTGGAAATAAAATTGCTATCGCATTGTAGGCCTGAGAAATGTAGGTAGTTTTGGAAATTCGTACTTATGTGTACTAAACGGTACTAAATTTGGTACACTTTAAATTTTGAAAGAAGCGGTAGAGGTGGAATCTTGAAAATTGAAAATAGGATTACTTTTGCATTGTAGGACTAACGAACATTTTGGTTGGTTCGGAAATTTGAGCTAGTATGCAATAAATGGTACTAAATTTGGTACAATTTAAGTTTTGGGAGAACTAATGGAGTTGGAGTCCTGAAATTTGAAAAAAGACTTTTATTGGACTATGTTATGTAGGTTATTATGGAAATTGGTACTTATCTGTACTAAATGGTACTAAATGAGTTACAAATTGGTACTGTGGTGAACCGATAGATCTAGAATTGGAATGGGAGTTACTGTTGGAGTGCAGGATACCTGTACCAAGGGATTTTTGTTCAAATTCGAACTTTTTGGTTACGAAAAGTTCTAAAATGGTTCCAATTTCCAAAAATGGTACAATTTGGTGTCATGTAAACGGATAGAGCCAAAAACTTGAAATTTAACATGGGAATCTAGGTTGGAAAGTAAGTTTGAT